AAAAGTGAGGTCAAACGAAAACCTTGAATGGTTTGAGACCGATCAACCATCACATTATCACAACCTGACCATCTAAACCTCCCGACTGCAGCAATCATCAGCTGCCCCGCACTGTCGCGACATTTAGCCGATCGCTCCCACTAAATTGCTCGCCCATAAATTTTAACAAAATTCTTGTGAAAAGGCCCGAGGGTATGAAAGTAATTTTACTCGGTGTGTATTTTTGGACGATGATTCCGAATCACCCCCCATGACGTAGGGTAAAAAAATGCTTCCCTGGAGAGTTATGGGCAAACAACTGTTTTGGTCACGTGACAGGCTAGTAAAACACGAATATGATTGTTTAGGGCTCGGGTTAGGGTTAGAGTTATGGATAGCTTTGGGGTTGTGGTTAGGGACTAGGGTTAGGGCTTAGCCGCTGAGATTAGGGTTTTTGTAAAACCGTTTTGTTCGGCTGCAAAACCATAAAAACCAAAGTCACGTGATGATTTCTGGGCGAGCGAATTAGTAAGAGCCTTAGCCGATAAATTGCGAGCAAAGATTGAAATAGAGGCACATATTATGTACATTTTACCTTTCTTAGTTCCACAAATGATGATATAATCATATCTGAATTTTTAACGAACTATAATTTTTAAGTTGAATTGGGATTGTGAAATGCGAGTAGTATAGAACTTGCATCAGTGGATTAATAGGTTGGTTAAAAGAAGGTTGAAAAAACGGTTGAACGGTTCCCGCACTTTGTCTTTATATCTGTCGCAATATATAAATATTGATGTCTATGTCGTTATATATTGCGATTTGCGCTTTGACCCATGACATGATAGCAATACTCTTTTTGCGTGCACAAAAGGGATATGCAACGTGTAGCAAATCTTCGCACTATATTTCGACATAATGTTTTCGTAGAGTCGCAGTAAGGTGTGTCGCCAGTAATTGCCCAATACCACGTTTGGATCGATATCATATAATCTCAATTCTCAATTTTCAGTATTGTTCTTCAGTTTAAGTTACGCGTAGGTATAATTTTTAAGTGATTATTATGATGAAAGATAAAATAATCGACCGAATATGGTATTTTTCTATCGTCTTTCAATCATTTTTTAACCTTTCAATCGACCGATGAGGACACATAATGGTGGTTGCACTGATGTCACATGACTGCAGACCGCAGAGGCAGTGACCATTATAGTGCACAGATTTAGAATTTGTGGTTTTGCACAGATTCTCAGGCAGTTAAAACAGGTGACAAAATCGATCCAATCATTACCGAACCACTCCTATATTCGATTCTACGGTTAAAAATACGTTGAGTAAAGTATGTTCAGAGTTCCCAACGTATTCAGTAGAAATACCACGAGGCAATCTAATATTATCAACTGAGATCTCAACCGATGCACTATTATAGACATATAGTTAAGAAGTAACCTCATATCTCTCAACATTAAGGATCGTTCCAATGTTATTGATTCCCTTAATTAATTTAATGTCACCCACCTTAACTAATTTATAATGTCACCCACTTACATGATTCATTTTAGTTTGGTACAGATCCTAGAGATTCGCGACTTTGTATTTCATCTATAGTTAATCGCAAAAGCTTAAAAGATTTATAATTAACCTACTTCCACTCGTATCTGATAATGTAATCCAACTTAACAATAAGAATTATGCGTGTATCACTGCTTATAAATATCTCCGGGATTTCGACGCGGGATCATATTATCACTCAGCCCGGCCCGCTGTTAGATAAACATCTCAAGGTGATATCATCCCGCCCCGGAAATTTGTATAAACCCGGCCCGCTTTTTAGTCGTAACTGATGTTTATCATTCAATTCTCCGACTTACAATAATCAATGATACTGCTGATTAGAACTCGATAATAGTAGAACAGTTAGACGCGCGATCACGTGGGCGCGTCACGTGCGTACCACGTGCCACCAATAGCATACGCCGAGTCTATACCACGTGACACGAAAGCGCACCACGTGATATGAAACATCGTAACCGTCCACTTCTTTTACACGCAAATTCCTGGGAACGTTGCCAAAGCAGCTAATTCTTGGAATTTCTCCAACGCGTGGCGTGAGAAGTTGGCGACTAGCCAGCTACCCTTGTCCGTGCCCTAAAAATAGTATTGTTTTGCTTGCTCTCCTTCCAGCTCTTGTTCCTGCTAATAGAAATGAAAATATTACTAAAATCAGACCCGTATGCCGAAATAAAAACTATTTTATCACTCTCTTCTAAAGTATAAATCCCTTGTCGAAATCGCCGGAGATAATTATAATCCATAAACACTTCACGCTCAGGGCTAAATAAATGTAATCCCTCAGCTGGCGCTTCGGGATTACATATTAACACAAAACTCGTGCGCTGCGCGCACTCGTATGTGTTTATCAGATCATCCCGCTAGCGCGGGATGATCTGTTATATAAACCCTTTGCGTGGCGGGTTTATGTTATTATAGTCGCACAAACTAATGTCCAAATTCCTTGTATGAGGTCAAGAATTCAAGTTGCATATTTTAGCACGTAGCAAAATTTCAAACTTTCCAGGAATAGCCGCAATTCTTTTGCTTTCACGTTAATTACGTACACAGTTTTCAATCCTTTTAAACGATGCCCCCACGGAATAGTTTTAATTTACAGCTACATATTACATACCTAACAATCGGATTATCGGAGTGTTGACTAGATGCTGTGAACCCAGCTTATCTCCGCGTGAGGGGGAGTCATGAAGGTCCGTGCAGCTGATCTGTATCAAGTTATATAACAGTTTACAAGATAAAGTTTACAACAGATCACATCCCTTCATACCTGCTCGGCTGGTCACTATTAACCTGACCAGGCCCTCTCCGCCACGTCCTATAATCGTGTGCGATCTACTAACCTCCGTGTGCTTTACTCTGTCATTACAACAACAGTTTAATTATATTCCAGATCGAATTGTCACGCTGGAAGTTACCTGGCGGGGGAGAAGTACCGTGCTCTTTATCTTAGGACCCTTTTATAAATGCAGGGGCCCTCCTATCTCATCACACGACTATGGGGCTGTTTAGCAATGTGGTTCTTAAAGCTATTTGCACAAACTCACGTACATTCACCTCCTGTAGTTTGCCTTTCCCACCTCATGCCCATTTCTTTGATCCCTTCTTAAGTAATCTCAAAGTTTGCCCCAAAACTTTGCCCTAAGGACCCAACACTGAAATCTGACCCCTACCTAGGCTTGTCTCACAAGTTGTCATAAACCTTACACCTACTGCAGGACAGGACAGTCCGCGTATAGCGTGATCATAGCTTAGTCGCAACAAGGAGCCCCGAATTGTAATACTATTGCATTGTTATACTGCGTAACAGAAATATCATTAATTATATACGCGGTGCCTACTTGATTAATTACAGCATTGTTTGGGTGTGTTGTACAATTTGTTCGAGCTAGTAGTCATCTTTTGTAATAATCCTACTATCACCCTACAGCCAGATAGTTTAATATAGCTGGATATACTTATAGTTATAGTCCGTGTTGGAGTATGCATTTATAGTTGTGGTGGTAGTTTTTAGTTTTATATTGCGCTAATTATTTTGATTTACAGACGAAACCACTTTTCAGTTGTATTTTGGACAGGATTTAGCACCGCAAGAGTTGAGACGTAAAGCTCTAAGTGTTTCATGTTTTATTGTAACTGGCACGATATGTGTTAGCCGGATATTATACATTTGCAAAATATAGGTGTGATATGAAACAAAATATACTCGCACTTCTAGTTCATTTTTATTACATACCTAATTATTACAAATTACAACTAATTATTAATTGCACCTATAATATTCTGTCAGCTTCGCACCATGCAAGGACGGTACACCATACACAAATTTCCTAAAACGTTCATTATTGTGGCCCTACAATTTCAGCTAAACTTGCATCATGCACCGGAGAATATTACAATTCCTTCTTATTATCCCTAATTAGTAATTAATAAACCAATTAAACAACCAAATCTGGTAACACTAATATTGCTTTTAACTCGCGTAGCTGGTAGTGTTCATATGTGGGTATGGACGACTATAGTCGTCTATATTGATGCAGCTTTACCAAAATTACTCCGTTCATTGACAAAATTCCCCTGACTAAACGAATGATTGACGTTGGGCGGTATATTAACTGGCACAAGCTCCGGAATGCCGAGTATGAGGGGGTTTATTTAGCAACCCTTGCTTCCCCTGCCACACCATGACAACCAAACATTGTTACCACTGTTACATACCCAAGGAATACCCTAGGTGACGATAACATTCAGTTAATTAAGTTTGTTATTTCGCGTATATTCCTATTTTAGGGCATTCCCCCGAATAGTCCGGATTGTTAAGCACTCTCACATGAGAAAATTCTGACGAATAACAAAATTTTTCCTTTCTCTAACACTTGATATCGTTCAGCAATGTTTGGTAATGACACCTTCGCCGCAACAGTCGAGGAGCGGTTTTATTTTGGGATATTCCTCAGCGTTTTCTGCTCGCTGGGTGTTGTACTGAATATATCAGCCATAGTTTTACTTCTTATACACACGCGACTTCTGGCGAGAAATCAGAGACTGACGGTTCTTAACGTGGCTTTTTGTGATCTGATATATGCTCTACTCGGAACACTGGTTAGTAGTTTAGTTTCAATCTGCTTGTTTAATGTATCAGGGTTAGATCTAAGGTACAATGCTGGATCCTTAGATCCTAGATAATGTTTACATATTATGTCGTAGTCAACTTTTGACATTTTTACAGACTCTCTCCACCTCCACCCTTCGTTATGACTTTTACACATATTATAGCTATTGTGATTTGATTAGAAACGTTCATCAAATAATACAGAATTATAATTATAAGGTACATCAAGGGGACTTATACGCTATAGTCTATACAACAAGAAGAATTCTTTGTCGCCATTGATTTTATTCAAGTTTGCACTTGCTATAACCAGTCTGAGAATTTCCCAGCCTAAACATTAATGTCTCAGACTGGTTGGTTACAATTGTTAGGGCAGGCACAGGTTAGCAGAAATTGACTGTAGTAGTGGCCCCAAAATTGCATAAACTACATTAATGTTATCATTCCGAAACCCTTTCCTTCCTTTAGTAATTAAGTTATATTCGAACAACCCTAAATTCAACAATAAGTCAGAATTTTTAGACAGAGTTAGAATAAAGGCCTATAGGATTGAGTATAAGTTCTAAACTAATCGGGCTGGAAACTTAATTAAATAAGTCTGTTATAAAATCCATCTAAGGTTGAAGAATGCGTTTGCTAAACTTTGTAAGAAAATCTTCATATAAATTACGGCGCGGTGCTTAAACCTATTTGCAGTAAGAAGCTAGCAAGGAAAGAGTTCTGGTCAGAGAGCGAGGCCGGAGATTGAGATACTGTTTAAGTAATCAGGGAATAGGGATAGGCCGGCGAGGAAGTAGCGAAATATAAAGGGGAGGATAAACTATCAGCTATTTTAGCCTAAATCCGCCTAGTTATATACTTATAGATGAACGGGGCGCCCAAATAAGGCAATCTTTGACACACGTTGCAACACCTTTTCGGCGGCCGTTTATAAGCAAGGCAATCTCGATTATATATTTCAATTGATTCTCTGACTCTATGACATTCATTTGGCCATGGTTGATAAGCGCTACAAATATAATATTAATGCGGTTTGATGCTGTAATGTCGAGACTGGTCCTAAAATCAATTGCTTGACAACTTAAATATGTCACGTTAATCAGACAGTCAGTGACAACTAAGCACGATCACGTAACCAAGCAAAAATAGCAAGCTCGTAAACCAAGAATATATTGTGAACACCTTAACCACAACAGAAAGTGGGTTCATGAAATATACAACATTTTAATTGCTAACCAAAAAATCTTGGTAATATATCAGCATATCGTTCAATGTGAGAGGTTTTTATCTTGAAAACAAATGGAACAAAATAGGATACCTTTATATAGGATACCTCTAATAGTACATTGTTTTAAATTCAAGGGTTCAATCGATTCAGTAAACGAGAAAGTAAAAAAATGTAAGTTATAAAATAACATACTGAAGCCAGTGTATACCGCCAAACAAGGCTGACTAATAAAACAACCAGCAACAAATAATATTTCCGCAGGTCCGAGGGCCCAGTTATATCTCGGAGAGGTTCGAACAGTCCGTGTCGGAGTCGGCGGCCCTCTGTCTAATCGGGGCGGTCCTTATCAACCTGTGTGGGTCTGTCAACAACGTGGCCTTGCTGCCCATAACCTTTGACAGGTACAAACCAATATCATTTTACTCTTTAAAGTAGGCTTACCAAGTTGGATCATTCCCGGATATAGGGCAACTTATTGCGCTAATTGGCATGTTTGGTACGTGTTAATTAATATTATTTTGAGCCTTGTTCGTCATGGTGTTTATTTTCACTGATCAGATGTGATCGTGACAGGGGAGAGAAACCTTAGTAGCGAGATGGCCCCATCTTTATGAGTCTAAGTGAATTCCTTTGTGAGTTGGTAGTCCGAACTCGTCACGGACCACTGAACTAATATTATCTGGAAATCCCTCAACTATGCTGTTTATTTATAGATTTACTAGGCACTTATTTGTTGTTTCATCAGTAGAATTTATAGATGTTATAGTGCAGATATAATTATGACCTATTTTTGTCTCATTATAAATAAATGAATGGCTCCAAAGTCTCAGTTCCGTTCTATGTTATCGATCAACTTGAAGTTTGTAGTTATCAGATTAAGAAATAATAGTATTTCGTAGGAAACAAAACTCTTTCCTTTACTAATTGTAGCGCGAAACCCAGAGAAAGGGTAGAACTTGCACCGTTAATGTAAGACGGACATAAAATAATTGTAATTTTTTATTAAATACTTTTCAAATTTTACAGAGTACAGCAATAGATGAATATAAAATAGGATCGTTCAAAATATCGCCCCCATCTGTAAAATATGATGGGCACCCAAACACGGTAAACACATAGTGAACTATGTCCGCAGTAACTTGGACCCATTACATCGAATTAATCTAAATCCAAAAATTTATGAAAAACTATTTAATAACAAACAAATCCATTTAATAACAAACAAATCCATGGTGAATAACTGTGGATATAGAGTCAAAATTTGTATTTCAATACGTCAAATTCCAGATACATTAGATACAGGTCTGAAATGGTCATTAATGTGTGAAAAGGTGTGCGGGTGAAGTGTGATATGATGTTGAAAGTATAGGAAGGTAGATACAAAAATTAATAAAACAAAAATAATAATAATATGGGGAGCAAAGAGACTAGGCTAGACTGTTGTTTCACTATCCAATAAACATTTCCATAGATGCTTAGTGACCTCAGCTTTGAAAAGACTAGTAGACACAATCTGTCTTACCAGTAAAAGGAGTCCATTCCACAGTATATGGGTTCTGTAGAAACATGATTTTGCCAGTGGGCTATTTGAGGTACATGTGGTGTGTGAATTCTGACTTAACTTAGGTAAAATTGATGACACAATAGACAGACTGTCGAGGTGGCAACGTCTTAGTCGAGAAGTGCCCTGATATAAAGAGAGATAGTGAGGCAGCGATACAGGAATTAAATTGTTAAGAACTTTGTGGAAAAAAATAAGATCATTCAAGTCAAACTTTTGAGCCAAAGGGAGAATGTCGACAAGCTTGCACTTTTTGACATATTGCTCAGGTGGATAACTGCGGCCCTCTTCAGACAGAATCCATTTAATAGCTCTCTTTTGGAGACTTTCTAATTTATCACTAAGTGATTTATTACAAGGGCGCCAGATTATGGAACAATTTTCGAATTGGCTACGAACCAGGGAGAGATAAAGCGCCTGGCGACGTTTCTGATCAATGACAATATGGCCATCTCTTCTGACCATACCAAGTTGTTGGCAGGCCTTAGTATAAATTCTGTCGCACTGACTATTCCAACTTAGCTTAGGAGTAACATCGACTCCAAGATCTTTTTCTAACTCTACATACACAAGAGGAGAGCCATCAAGATTATATGCGAATGGAGGAGATAAAGATGGTTTTCCTGAAACAATAAGCACTTTACATTTTGCTGGATGGAATCGCATTTTGTTTCTTAGTGCCCAGTCAGAGAGATAGTCTATATCCATTTGTAAATTAGTATTATCAGAAGATGAATGTATTTTACGCCAGATTTTTGTATCATCGGCATACAAAACAATATCAGTATTATCCGAAAGGCCAAGAGGAATATCATTGATAAACAATACAAAAAGTAAGGGACCAAGAATAGAGCCCTGGGGGACACCAGAATTAACTGAGAGGGTAGATGACATCTCATTACCAATAACCACTCTTTGGTAACGGCCTTGAAGGTAATTGGTAAGAAATTTGAGAAGTGTACCATCAATGTTATATAAGGTCTTTAGCTTATGAAGAAGGATATCATGATTTACAGAATCAAATGCCTTAGCAAAATCAAAATACACAACATGATTGATAATGTTTTCGTTAAGAGACAATGCCAGGCTATCACAAAAGTCAACCATATTGGTTGTGCATGACTTGTGCTCTAGAAAACCATGCTGCCTGGGATCAAGAAGGGTACTTGTCAAAGAAAGCAGTTTACGTTTAACAATGCGCTCAAAAACTTTCATGACTAAACAAGTAAGGGATATTGGTCTATAGTTTTCAACCTCACTTTTCTTACCTTTCTTAAATATTGGGACAACATTTGCAAGTTTCCATTCTTGTGGAATGTAGCCGCTGTTGTAAGATCCACGAAAAATGCATGTTAGAGGGTAAGCTAAACCTACGGAACAATTTTTGAGAATTTTACCGTGTATGCCATCTGGTCCCTGGGCTTTATTTGAATTAATATTTGAAAGAAGCTTACGAACATCCCGATGATCGAAGTCAATATCAAAATCAACATCATTGACATAGGAGATGTCAGTGTCATAAAGTGAAGGATCCGAAAACTGGTTATAAAAGAAAGAATTGAAAAGTTCAGCTTGAGCTTTGGGTTTGAACCGAAGCTGTCCAGAATAACTAACACAATTAGGAATACGGCAGGAGTTAGATTTATACTTAACATGTGACCAAAACTTCTTAGCTATAAGCGCTGGATCATCACTATTGAAAAGATTGTCTCTTATTTTGGCTGATGAAAGCCTCTTAAAATCTTTACGGCTAGTAACAAACTTTAACTCATCAGAAATAGAACCAGAAATTTTAAATTTAGCTCTGAGTCTATCTTTTTTACGGCATGAAGAGAAAAGTTCACTATCGAACCACGGGGGTTGAAACTCTGATTTAATAGTTACTTTAGGAATATGTATATCAACTAAATTCATAATGCAGTCTTTAACTAACTTCCAAGACGAATCAGGATGTAGGCATTCTAGGACTTGCCAATTAATCGAGCATAATTCACGATTAATCATGTCCCAGTTTGCTTTCTTATAATTATAGATTTTACGTTTAGGAGTTTTCTTGCGGGAAAAGGAGCTTTTAATTGAAAAAGTGACAGGAAAATGATCAGATTTGCACACGGAATGAGGATCACAGACATTCAAGTTATCGATTGTGTTATCATAATTACTGAGAAGAATGTCTAATGTATTACCACTTTTATGGGTGGGTGATGTGATCAACTGGGAGAGAGAAAGATCACTGAAAGAATCTATGAAGGATTGCTCAATAGGTACGGTACTGGATGAAGATAGCCAGTTTGTATGGGGGAGATTAAAATCACCAATAACATAGATTTTAGGGGGATTCTTTTTGGAAACTAACTTGCGAATATAACTAACTATGACATCATGATTAGGTAACCCAAGAGTTCCTACTCTATAACAAGTACAGATTACAATACTCTCTTTGTTAGGAAAAGCAATTTTGACGGCAAGCATTTCTGCACCTAGGCTAACTGGTAGTCGGGTTGTAGTGGCATCGAGATCAGACCGAACAGCCAAAAGAACACCACCTCCATTTTCCCTAAACTTTTTAGGGTTATTAGGATCTTGAGGATGAGTCTTTCTCGTGCGGTCATTGCGGAAGATTTCAAATTGAGAAGAAGGAAAGATTTCGTTGCTAGAAATAGATTTTTTGAGCCAAGTCTCATTTAGGGCAATTATGTCAGGCTGCTCTATGTTAGCAAAGGATTGAAGTTCGGAAATCTTATTACCATCAAGAAGGGGATGGGAGGAGCTTAGGTTACTGAAAGGAATAAGACCTTGGACATTTTGGTAGAGTACAGATAGGGAGTTGGGACCTGGATTAAGCATAGAAGGATTAACAAGAGTTATCAAAAGAAAGTTAAGAGAGAAAACCCAAAGAATGAATAAAGATACTAGACGCCTGAGGCGGCTGGAATACTTGACTCTATTCATCTTACCAGGGAGAAGAACATTTCTTATAAACCATGAGGAGATAATTACAAAGAAAAGTTTGATGTGGGAGCAAGCAAGAAATGGTATAAGATAACGTGGGCTGTCAAGGAGTAGAGAGGAATGAATATTAGAATCTAGGGGGAATACGGTGTTCATGGACCTAGTCGTGGAGAGAAGAATTGGGAGAAGGTAAGTCATGATGAGAGAATAGAAGAGAAACATATGATTATGATAATTGTAGTTGATGTGTGGGGTGCATGGAGAATTAAATGTGTAAATTTTGTTAGGTATAAACGTGTTGATATGTATATGTGCATTTCTTGACTGTGTACGAGGCCTTTTGCATGCAAAAAGACCTATTCTAAGTCTAAACGATTCATTGTCTAACATATGGGAAAATGGGCAGTGACCGAATGTACCTGAAATAGGAGGCATAAAATTGAGAAAAAGATTAAATCAGAGATTTGTTTGAGTTTTAATTTTAGGCGCAACGTCTTAATCAAAATATTAAATGAAAGAAAAGATCAAAGATTTAAATTCCCAGAAGATTATTTACAACCCTGTCAAAACTGTGTTCGTTTACAACAAACTTAAGCCAAGTGGACAGTAAACCTACTCCTCTCATGTTGAGATGAAGCCAATCATGGTATAGAAGTTCATTACAGGATCTAAAGTCTCGAGTTTAAAAGTCTGAGAAACAGTCTAAGAACACGCAATTATTATTTAGGCATAAGTCTTTTTAATTTACTTAAAAGTAAATTATTAAAATCTAGAACATTCTTTGCTATGTAGGAATATAAACACTTAATAGGAAGACAACATTGGATAATTATAATTGCAGCGGGAAATAACTGCTTAGTGGTGTCAATTAAGTCATTAAGATACTTCCTAAGGAACTGAACCCCATACTTAGAATGTTTTATGTCATTTGTACCAACACTCAATATAATCTTTTCAATATCGTCAGCTTCTGCAGCTGCATGGGTTTTATGAAAATGCTGAATATTTTCAGTGATATCTCTAATTTTTGCACCACTTTGGGACACATTGATTACCTTCCTTCCCCGGAATCCCAACTTATTTGTCCGTACGAATTTTGTCATTGACGTACCAAACAGGACAGTGGTTTTCCTGCTCTTCGGTTTTCTTGGAGCATTTCGGTAGTAAAGGGTTGGTGTTGAGGTGGTGGTGGGCGGCATAGGAATTGTAGTGAGGACGTTCTGCTCCCTGACTACATTTGTATCTGTCTTCGGTATCTGGCAGCGAAAAGATAAGCTATACCGAGTCTCCTTAGCTGATCTCTCTGCACGAACCTTATAAAGACAATATTCCTGACACCCCGGTTTCATAATATACAAACTACAGTCCTTTGGGGTGATATGGCATTTACTGTTACATCGCTTATCCCCATTTTCTGGAATTATGTCGAGGGTCCTCTCAGCTCCAAATGAAACTACATAAATACCTTGCGACTGGTCAAGAGACACCTCGTCGTCGTTGTGGTACCTAGTTGCACAAGAACCAGACTTGTGCATGCTTGCTAGTCATGAGTTTAGCTTACAGCCAAACTTGGAGTTGATATCATGCATAAGCTCTGATATCCCAGGATAATTTAAAATATCGATTGGCTCCTTAGTCGTGGTGTGTCCATTTGAGGAAGACCATACATATTCTTCTCCAGTGGAAGTGAGCCACTTTGTGGCAGTTTTCACAGCAGTTTGCTTGACCATAAGTGTTTCAAGTTCAGACATCAACGTGTCATGTTGAACACTCTTGTTTTGAACAAAATCTGAATGCAACTCCAAGAAGTCCTCGCATTTAACAGAATCCCTCTTAAGTTTCATGACATTCTCAACACTGGCCTTAAGAGCTTTCAGCTCTTTTAATGAAAACGAGTTTAAAACATTGGTAACAGAATTCAGATCCATAGTGAAGGAAAGAGGGAGGAGAAGATAGCGGTGAGGGAGGAGAAAATGGCGAAGTCAATACTGTAGCCCAGGAAGTAGATGCGTTGCTTAGGATACAAACGGTCACGTCATAGTCTCTTCTATCGCTTTGACATTGGGACCTAAAATTATTTGTTATATAGTAGTGTTGAAAGTATTAAAATAATTAATATACGGTAGTTCATAGTTCAATCATCATGAATACCTGATAACGGTGAAATAATGGACCAACTACAAAACAACTAAAATATATACAAACACACAACAAAAACAAACAACAACTTAACGAACTTAGTAACTCACGTAACGTCTCCTCAGGTGGTTCGTCCTCTCCTACCCAATGAAATACCGTCTGTTCATGTCGTCACGACGCTGTAAACTCATAATTCTAGCCTCCTGGATGCCCAACCTGTTGTTCCTGGTAGTGGAGCTGATGACTGCGGGAGTGTCTGACGGAGTGTACGCTACCTCATCATACGTGAGGGGAAGGTGTGTGGTGCAGGGCCTGGTGGTGCTCGACCTCGTCAGGGTTAGTGAATATTAACGTCGTAATTGAAGTGTTATTCGCGCCGTCTTTCGGCATTCAGGCTTATCTGAACCTGATATAAAAACTGATGGGTCGGTAATCTGTGTGATGTATCTTAGTTCTGATAGTGATACAATAAACACAGTAGTTCTCACTCGTTTCCAGCTGCACACAATTAAATTAAATTCCTTCAGGTAATAATCTGCTGTGTACTGGTAACGACTGTAATATGTTTCCTGTATGGTGCTATGTGGTGGAAGATATGTACCACCTCCGTTCAAACATTCCACAAACGGAAGCTAACCTCAAAACACAAGAAGTTCGGTATCATATCCGGGGTGGTGGTCCTGACTTGTGCGCTATCCTGGATCCCCAGCACTTTCCTATACTTCTCTCATCTCTACCAATCCAAGATAACAGCGTATTTCGCTGTTCTGGGTCTACATTACATGATAACAGTTACCAACCCCATCGTGTACATACTGGGAACTCAGGGAAACGTAGGACAAGCCCTGGTCAGTACTCCGGTTCAGTATAGACGCAAAATATCCAGACCTAGCATGTACAACAGTGAAACTGTACACAGAAACTGTGTGGCGGGAACAGTGACTATAACAGACAGTATTCATAAACCCCCTATAGTGGGCACTAAACGTCCCATCCCAGTTTTCACTTCTCATAGTTACCCGGGCTACAGTGGAGGTGGGACTCTTCCCCGGTTTAATAGCCAGTCCGGCACTAGTCTGGAACTTATTAGCGAGGCTGATTATAGATCTACGGATTGTCTGGCTGAATCGCTGGATGAATCGCATAACTGATATGTAGAACTGTAAAACAGTTGTTCAGTTTATTGATCAGTTTTAAAATGTTAGTTGCGAGAGTAGGAAAATAATGAAAGATTTTGTCAGTGATATGCAGGAACGTGAACGTAGGGTCAACTATTTGAACCCGGAAGCTGATGTTTAATGAACAGTGCTCAATTGTCAGCTTTTAATTGAGTCTCAAAATCAGGCTATAAAGACAAATCATTCGAAGATAAGAATGTTGATTTTTAACGTGTTTGTTAAATAATAGGATAGGACAATCAGAATTAAGTAAAACAATGATGTACATAAAAATGTAAATTTAGTTAATGATAGGTATTTACAGAGCATAGCAACATGGAAATATCTATAATATGGAATATCATAAGATCAGATAACAAAAAATTACAGTTAGGTCGAGGTAGGTTGGAAAGTTATTGGCATTTTCAAATGTCGGCATTTAAAAAATGTCGGCTTGTTTGATTGTGAAAGTGATGGTTACTTTTTATAAATATCATTCAAAAATTCGTGTTTATTATTTATCATGTATGATACAAAACACTAAAATATCTATAAAATTACGGCTTAAAAAACTGCTTGTAATCTAACTTTATTTTTACACCTTTAACGGAAATACAAAATCATTATCATATGATAACCTATACTTGCACAAAAGACATTAAATGTGCATTGATCTCTGAACAAATTATTCTTCTCTATTGGTTGTCATGCATCATGAATGCCTTGTATGTCAAATCTAATCTTAAATAATATGTCATTAATTTAACCTATTAATATTATAATATTCAAAGCAAAAACAAAAAACAACCGGCAACGTCGATTGCTTTAAAAAAATGTCAGTCCAGGAAAATAAATCTCATCTCTTCGCCACAGCCAGAGGATCTAACCCCTCATTCCACCCCACACCATAAGTCATGCTCCTCAGAAAGGGTACTTCCAGCGGAGTATAGCTCCGTCAGCACTGACACTGATAATATGTTTAGAGTTTGGACACACCCGGACTCGGGTGATATCCCCACTGTGTCCCAGTCCTACGTGTGTCACCTCCCCCTCGTTATACTTCCACACCTGATATAATAATAGAGTTTAGCAACAAGTGTAACTAGTTACTAGCTATTATACACGCGTGACGTGTTATACTTATAACACCAAATGAGACAATGGTAGGGTGGCTACTTAAAATCTTGGTCATGAGTCATTTATTCTCTAATGACTTATAGGATATATTTAGACGAGCCAGTACCCAGGCCAGGTGTTCTCTTCAATACTTACTACGAGTAGGACTAGTGCACTGTGTAGGGTCATTATAGAATTTTGTAATCGACCAACTATAGTGTTTTCGATAATTTGAATCTGTATTAAGTACTATTTACTGGAACAGGAAAAAAAACAGTATTCCCTTTGAAACCCTCTTTTCATAGTTTACAATTTTTCTCGGACTCAGTTGAAAATGAGAATATATTATATTTTTGATGCAGTTATCATAAATCATTATTTAAGTGCTTTTGCCGTATAAATCTTAAAGAGATAACAGTGTCTCACTTTCTTGAGAATATTTTGCCACGTTAAAATATGCGAATAAATTCTAAATGGCACGGGCTACAGTGTAGTCTCCTGTAACGCGAGCGATCGTGCGACTGCTCGGTCAAATCAGGCAACGTGATTTGAATTATATTGTATATTCATAATTCAAATACAATTGATCAAACAAGTTCTTTGTCAAATATTTGCGTTGTCAATAAATTTAGTACCACCGATAGCGATCATTGGTCTTAATAATGATGAATGATGATAGCTGCCAATCCCTGCCCTTGATTTGACAACAAAAGAAATATAACTATTCTTCATTTTAACTTTGTCTAAAAAATTAGGAAGTTCGACGAACTCTGTCTCAGACGCAGAAACTTACCTTTACTTTGCGACTGTTTCCACCGCTCACAAAATAGTTGCCGTCATCAGATATATCCAGGCCGTTAATACTGCCGTCAGCACTACCTTCCATTTCTCGAATCTGACTTCCGTCCAGCGTTTCCCAATAAGAGATCTGAAATTTTGAGTTGTTCGATTATCGTAAACAAGATAGTATAATTGAATAGTAATCAAACATTAAAATCAAGGCTAAATTGTTTTAAATGAATTAAAATGAATCAAGGTATTTATATCCCACTCTTTAAATGGACATTTAAAATACAAGCTATTAGAGTGACTCTTTTTACTAACGATCTTATCTTACAGAGAATAACTAACTAATTATCTAAATTAATTATCGCTGGACGCTAATATCGCAACGAATGATAAAGAGGGGGCCAATGAGTCTAGGATCGCCCGACAGCTGGCCTAGATATTTCCGATGATAAATTGCCATCTTTTAAACATTCTATAATCTGTGTAGTATCCTTATATAGAGCAAATCGTAATTGAAAATTAAGACTTGGCTGGAATTAAAATGACCGGAAACTTTAAATGATACTCACAACTTTGTATTATTAACGTATTGCAGCTAATACACGTAATTCAAGCCAACGTGATGGTATAACTAATTAAGAAATATTCCAGATTTTCCATAGAAAAAGGACCAGTACTAACTGGTCGAATCAGGAATTTTGAATAACTGCTTGGTCTTCAATTATTTTTGTTCTAAATATTAATTTAACGTGTACGTGTTGTCGGCATTCCAACGTAGTGACTCCATTAGAGGTTACTATAGTAGGGTAAAAATCATCATCAAATGACCGATTTGTGCTCATTTATGCGTCTTATTCATTTATTTGTGGTAAAGTAAAACTTTCACTCCTCAGCACAACTAGTCTTCCATTTTAATAGAGTAAATTTGATTCGTGTTTTTGTCGTTTGCACCCGAATTAAACATTTTGACTGTTGTGGCCAGGATAAAATGGTGCAAGGTTCGATATTACCGGAACTGCTATAATAACTTAAAGTACATATGCAACTAACAATTAAAAACAGCGCTGAAATTAATTGAATCACGTATTAAATTGTATGAAAAATTTGGAGCAGAGAACAATGGAAACTTTCACAACTGTGCAATTATATCTTTTTTGAAATAACATCAAATTGCCACCCAGGAATTGACTATGGAGGAAACGATGAGTAATGTCTACGATATGAAACCTACGTTCTATGCTCGAGTATTATATGCTTTTTGGGATCTTGGCATCATCATTCTTGGACTGTTTGGTAACTTCATCATAATCATAGCTTCAGCCAGATTCAAGGCAATAAGATTGGACAAAATCTCAGTGATGTTGATCAGACACATAGCTGTAGCAGATGTTATGCACATAATCCTTGTGGTGATTCCTGCCGAGACTTCTATAATTTGCAATCGATGGGTTTTTGGAGACATTTTTTGCAAGATTCAGACTTATTTACTGCCTATCTTCTTCAGCACGTCAATATTTCTGCTGTGTGGTCTGAATATAAACAAACTTGTGTGCTTGATACACCCCCTGAGAAGTAGAAACAGATCAGCACGCACTGGTCGCTACATCGGAGCCTCATTCTGGCTTCAAGTCATCATCTCAATGACGATTGTCCATTTATCAGCGTTTTCTTTCAAAAAGTGGGATTATCATTACAGCTCGACAGTGTTTCATTGTTCTGGAACATATTTAGATGCTGGAAGTTTCTATGAAATCCTCACAGCAGTGTCTGTGCTACTTCCCAGCGCTGTGATAATCATTACAACAACCTGCTTGCTGTGCTTCGTTCATCGAGTTAATGGCTTGCAGAAACAGAGTGTTCAGACTCTGGTTTTAGTTTCAACTGTTTTCTGTATTTCATTCATCCCTTTTGGCATTACCACGGCTATGATAGCCGCTGGAGATCCATTAGAATCATATGGAATAAAATTTGCAGTCTACTTGAGGATAACGACTATGCTAGGAAACTTGAACGTTGGTGTGAATGCACTCATTTATTTTATGACGATCAACAGTTTCAACAAATTTGTTAAAAACTTACGGGTACACTTGAAACAACTGTTTGTGTCCAAAAACAAAATGCAAGTGGTTCCTGCCTTGACCAAAAGCAAATCTACAGGGACTGTTTTCAGTTTGGTGGATTAATGGAAAATGGCGTTTATACCTCTATCATAATCTCTATTCAAGAGCTAGTAAAATTCCAAATTTGTTATCATTTACTTTTGTTGTGTGTTACTGTATTTCAAATTCAATGAAAAATTTGTATGTTCTACGGACAGCTTGGTTACTTGGTTGAACACTAAAATCGAAACATACCTTTCTATCACTTCCCCCAGTCAGAAGCTGTGTTTCTTCAGGCTGATAGCAAACTGCTTTGAACAGAGTGTTAGCGAATATGATCTGATTTCTTACAAATCTGTTCAGGTCCCAGATGATACATGTTCCGTCGTCAGAAGAGGATACACACTCCATATTGTTTGCTCGAATCTTGATGCAGGTCACAACTCCTAATAATTTGATAGATTCATAAAGGAAAATTAGTTTTTTGCCAAATTCGCCACATTTAAATGACAAAATAACAGCCAATTATTGTCCAATTAACAACAAACAATGATCACAAATTTTGCTTTTTGTGTTCAAAACAAATCGCGCGCGCCGCGCAACACTAATTAGGTAGACCTACCTTTATGCTCTTTCATCGCAGCTTTCATTTCTTGTCTATTTGATGAAATATCCCAAACTCTTACCTGAAACAATACTGTTAAAACGACCAAAAATGAAGAATTTCAATCAGACCACCTATCACGGATCCGTCGCCCCAAAATATTTCCAAGCTATTCCCGATCGTTCACATCTACATTCTCAGTTTTTCTCACACGTTTCTTTTCACACAGACATTTAATTTTGAGCTACTTAGAATATTTCTTGGCAGTCTACGTCTGCTTGCTTCTCCGATTGGCATCTGATCTTATATTAGTCAGCATGGTTCTAAGGCTGATGTTACTAAACTTGTGCTTTGAGTGAGCTTCAGCACATCGAGTTCAGAATAAGTGCAATATGAGTACAAAATAGGTAATTAGATCGCTTGTATCATTATTGTCTTGTGCTAAAGTTACTTTGTCCTCAGAGTTGAACAAGATCCCAATATGGATCGATTGCACTCAGCTTATCTTGGACTTATATAGCCCTGAATCTAATTCCAAAATTAGTGCAATATAAGAGTAATATGACAGACTCCCATCTGTGATATTGTGAGTGCAAAGTAAGAACACAAAGAGAGAAGTGAACATTTTACAAAACATGAGTTATGAACTAAAAATACTCTGAACTGACCTGACCCTCGCCACCACCACTCACAATCCTACTACTGTTACTTGTAGTAGCAATGGCAGTGACTCCCTGCTTGTGCGCGTCGTGTATCGTGTACAGCGCAGCACCGGACTGCGGTTTGAACGCTCGGATCTTACCGTCATTCCACGCTGAAATAAAACTCAGTGTACTTATTCTGGGCTAACAAGAATTATTATAACTGCTATCAATATTAAAGTATCACATGCTTGTTCAAGCATATCTAAACCGTAAACGTCCTATTTTACCATGACACTAATCCAAAATTGTGTGAAAATGTTGTTAACTCACCACTGATTATACTATGACCGTCAGTCATGAAGCAAACACCATGACAAGTCATGTTAGGAACTGAAACCCTCAACACTTCAGTGCTAGTGTCAGTAACCCACACCCTGATATTCTCTTTGCCACAAGTCGCAAACAAGTCTCCACAGCCGTGAGGGAACCCTACGTCCAATACCTGCAGATGTAATTGTTGATCTGAATTCCTGACAACGAACTTATAAATTATCATCTGATTTATGGATTTATCTTATTCATTGAATGGACATATTTCATTTTAAGACAGTAAAATGTTACAACTTACCCCCGAATAATGGCAAGAGTTGATACAAGTAGGCTGGAAATCTGAGAAGTTTATTCTGTAAATATTCCCCTTGTTGACTCCAACATACACCTGATGACCAATCCCCCTGACTGCAACGCTAGTAGCACCACCATCCAGTGTACATTCCTTCTGTGCTACAGGTTTAAAAGTGCCAGCTTTTAGAGCGCAAACTATGCCACCCCCCGTTGCGACGATAATACTGCCGTCTTTTAACATGGCAATGCTGTGAACTCCGAGGGAGTATTTGTCTTTTGAGGGACCAGAGTTCTTGAACAGGTGTGTTTTTATGGTTATCTGTAAGATGTCTCCAGAGGTAGTGCCAGCGTACAGGAACTCGTCGGTGCTATCGATAAGAATGCACCGGACATCACGCTTCAGTTGTCCTAAATCACATTCCTGAGGTCTGATTTTCCTGTTGGGTCGGTCAACATCCCAGATCCTCAGAGTTTTACTGAAAGTGGTTTGATGTTATTACCATGTGCGTTACTTAATTATAGATAAATATCAAATATCTGATGTGCGTGTTGCATAGTATTTTTCATGAAGTCATCACATACTATTTAGTCATAATTGCATAATAGTGTTTTTCTGTAGCTATAGTACCATTTTCACTTCATAACATGAACACAATAAGAGTTTGTCTGCACACTTGTAAAGTTTTTTCAAACTTTACACGCAACTGTATTTATTTCAAGCATCTCCAAGACAGTTCGATGCTTACAAAGCATGATAAAAACAAGCAGCAAGAAAACTTGAAATTCCAACACGTGTAAGGACTCACTTCCCACCGGTGACGAACTTATCGTCGGTAGTGTTCATGAACTGAACAGTGTAAACGGTTCCAGCACTTTGTAGTGCAGAGGGTGCACCACACAGCGCCTCGCGCATCTCCAGATCCCATACCACAACACTACTGTCGTCTCTTCCTAGGAATTTGGATCGTGTGTAAGGTATTTGTATTTATAAAACCCTAATACATATTTGTAAGGGTAGAATTTGGAATTTAGACATTACTTGCTCTCGATTTTTTTGTCGTATTTTAAGGGTAAAAAAGTCAAAGCTGTTCGTTATTGCCTGATCCGTTTGAAAATATAGGCATTGAATTAGTAGTACACTATTTGCTGTGACATTATTTACACCTACCTTCGCCTGGTTCAATAATAATCCATATGCTATTCATAAAATTTCTGCTTCATAACGATTGATACACTTACAAGGAATAGGAAATGATGGAGAGATTATCATCGGAAATGCTTTTCAATTAATGACTGACATTTAACCACCACTTACCAGAAACTAACTACTACTCACAGAAAAACTTCCGAACTACAAAGATTTTGAGTATTCAAAACTCAAGTGGGCATGAAAGTAATTACTAAAGAGATTAAGTTACTAAAGATAAACTCTAGATCAATTTAAGAATTGGGTGCTTTTTCTGATAGTTCCTACAATAATTAACCTCATAAGTTCTTTCAAATCTCAGTGTTCCTTTGATGTACATCTCAATTATTATCTGACGATAAATATGAACATAAGTGGTCAAGTAAGCTACATGAAAATACTCAAACTTCTTATCAACCACTCAAATTTGCTTCAATGAAGAAAATTCAAAATATTCTAATTAAATCTACTTGCATTCACAAATTTTCTATCCTTAGACATTATTAGATGTTATGTTACTCGTTAACTTAGTGATAAACATTGTAAGCAACCGACTGAGTCATCTTACTATAAACAAGTAATAATGAAGGATTTTAAAAAACTCATTCCCACCTCATAAGCAATAAGCAACAAGCAATAAGCATACCACTGCAACTGGTATGCTTATTAATATCTTATGATCACTCGTAAATACGATCTACAAATGGATTTTTTAATAAAATATTTTAAGAATTTAAAGATCGTAAGCTATGAGGGATTTTTGTAAAAACTCATTTCAACCTCATAAGCAATAATTATACGGCTTTAAAGTTTTAAAATTGATATCGTACGTGATCTACGAATGAATTTTTCATAAAAATATATAAAGAATTTAAAGATCGTAAGCTATGTTTACCTCCAAGAGTGACCAGATATTTATCAGAAGGAGAGAACGCTAGAGCCTCAACTTTAACTTTGTGAAGAGTGAAGGTAGCGTATGGCGCCTTGGCTTCAAAGTCCCATACAATCACATCAGCTTTGAAACCCATATGAGTAATCTGAAATGAAACAATTTTCAGAATTTTAATTATATTTGGACATGGGCAGTTATCCTAATTCAAACAAATCAGAGATGTTTATTGTTTCTTCATAATAGCAATTAAACAGGCCTACAAAACCAACTAATTGAACACGACTTTCCATATCTAAATCAAATTTACCTGCCCAGATGCGACATACTTCCCACTCTTGCTGACAGCCAAACAGGACACATCATTCGTGTGACCGGACAGAAAGTTCTGTTCGTGTGTCTTGATGTTCTCAATAACAACAGTGCAGCCCAGTGGGTATATCAAGTGTTCACCGTCAGGGTGAACTAATAAACCGTGTGGTACACTTCCTGAAACAGAATGAACATTTAAAACCAAACACTGATACAGAAAATGAGTATAGAAAAGCTTGAATAAATCATTGCAGTACAAAAAGTAGCGATTGATTATTTTAGACTCAATAAAAAGGTTTCATGCCAGATAGTGACATGTTTAACCAACCATTGAATCCTATAGTGGAGATCAATTCCAACTCTTGGATGGATTCTTCGGACATCCTGCCTGAAGTTGACTGTTTAGCACCAAACAAAATGAATAAACGAGTATAAACTATAAAATTAGTGATGACTAAGTAACAATTCTATTTCAGTTTTGCTATGTGCATTGCATGCGCTGCATGATGCATGCTGTAAAAGGGGGCATTGTTGCAAGAAACCACAAAATAAATAACAAATAACAAAAATAAAACAAGTTAGCCAAAACACAGCCATACCGACCAAATTTATCAACAAGTTGATAAAAGGATCTCACAAAAATTGCTGAAATGAGCCCAAAAGAGTTCCTGTCTAGAAACAGACAATTTAATAATATATGTACAGGTATAAAACAAGTATTACAAATAATAATCTGACATCGCATCCATTTTAAACCCAAGTGGTAGTCAATCATAGAAATATCACATTTTGAATTGTAAAGAATAAAAATATCGGCTTTTAAAGTTTCTATCGATTCAAAAGATTATTTCTCGCAAGCTGAAGAGCTTTGAAAGCTTCCGTAGCTCCTGGAGCCAAGTTTTTGTCTGGATGTAAAAGAAGACACAACTTCTTAAACGCTTTTTTAATTTCCTCTGGGGGAGAGCTTTTAGCAACACCGAGAATATCATAATCATCCTTTGAGTTCTTAATCCTGACCACTATATCTGCCTGTTCTCGAGTATATCCCAAATTCACGCTTCCTATTTTTGACTTGCCGTGTCGAACATTCTTGACAACATCTGTAAACAAATTACTGAACATATCGTTTACTCCCTTGCCTGAATATGCAGACAGCTCAAAATAAAGGAAACCTTTCTTTTGAGCATAATCCCTTCCTGCATCTTCTGTTACCACTCGTCTACCGATATCAGTTTTATTAGCACACACTGCAACAATATAATCTTCGACATCACTGGTAAACTTTCTCATCTCTAAGAGCCAATCATCAAGATGTCGAAAACTTTCTCTGTTTGTAACATCGTAGACAAGCAGAACCCCTTGGGTATCACGATAAAATTCGTTACGAACTTCGTAGAATATCGGATGACCGGCGAAATCGAATATATTCACCCGTACATCTTCACCACTCTCGTTGTATTTGGTGACACCGTAATCAATCCCGATGGTTTGCATGTACTTGGGAACAAAGCGTTTCTCGCAATATCTTTTAATAATGCAACTTTTTCCGCTGCTGGCATCGCCAAGACTGATTATTTTGATTCGGAGCCTCCTTTTCTGACCTTTCACCGGAGCCGTCATAACTGGGCAAACAAAAGGTTAGAAAACGTGGAATCTACTTATGATACAAAGCCATTTAAAGCAACAAAGCGGAAAGTTTTAAACATTGATTGAAACCTAACCCCTGGGGTGAAAAGTAAAGCAACATGTATGAGAACGTAATATACTTTAGTAGCCATAGGGACCTTTGCATACTATCCAATGCGAAATACGCTTTGTTATTCTCACCTGGCAACGGACTCAGCAAATTCGCGATTGCGCGGCTTTTGAGTGCGCGGCGTAGCATCCGTATTTTAGACCGGTATTATAGTTTAAATTTCAATTATTGTATTAATTGCAAAATTTTACTTCCATAAATTTATTAAACCAATTTAAATAATTGTACCGTTTTAAATATATTATCTTAAGATAGTAATATTTCTAAAACGTATCACCTTTTTATGGGAAAAAATTAACGCCGCGCGTATATTTTATGTCGAATTTTCGTCGGTTCCAATATAAACAAATTCTGAAAATCGAGCGTTTCCATAAAAGTCCTTAGACTGTTCTCTTCTCGTGAGTAATTAAAACCTATTTACATTCTTTGCCTGAGAGACTGAATTATGCAAGGCACTATACTTTAGTTATAGTAAGGCTCTCGGCTTAAAGAGATAAGTTGAAGCTCACAACCTTATTCGAACAAAGCAGTGGCGTAACGTTGCCTGTTGGCGCCCCCCTGCCGAAAAAAGCGCCCCCCTGTTGGCGCCCCCTCCCCTTTTGGTGCCCCTCCCTAAAAGTGAACAAATTAGGTGATTTTAAAGAATACGCCGGTAAAATCTCTAAAAAAGTGTGTATCTAGAGCAAAACGCGCAGTTTTGCTAGTACTTTAGTTAAGTTTTCGAAATTGTCCCACATTCAAACGACGATTTGGCGCCCCCCTAAGACGGCGCCCCCCTGCACAGCGGGGTCAGCAGGGCCTTTCGTTACGCCACTGGAACAAAGGGTTCGTCGAGATCTCATTGAGATGTCCAAGATCCAGGAAGGCTTTGTGAGTTATGGACAGTGGTGCAACGTAAGGCCTGCTGACTCCAGAGGCGGCTCGTGGGAGCTAGCTGGCAGTTTTGTTGGGGTCCAATCGATGGACTGGGGGGGGGGGGAGGGGGGCTTGGGAGCCGGCTCAAGCTGATCCCTTCAAACTACCGATTACATTACACACAGGGCCTTGTTATATGTAATGTGTAACACTTTACAGGCGACAGCAAACAAAAACAAAAACTTATAACATGGTTGAAACAGGACACCACACGTGTACGATCTTAGCCGCGCAGTATCATAGCAGTCAATAGTTCAAACTGCAAAGGGTCCTGGACCCTCAAATCGAGGCAAATCAGTATAGATTACTTGTAGTGGGATGCGCACGATGTGCTTTGTAACGTTTACAATTAACTATGTGTTAAAACTGCGCGGCTGAGTAGTCCAATGGTAGGGTTGGACTCCCTACAACATAAAAGTTCACGAAGATCATGCGTGCGCTTACATTAACACCGCAATTCCAGTCGCAAGCCTAGGACCACTACTAGCATAGTCACAACATCTACAAAGCTGCCATATAGCCTGACTGACAATTTTCTCGACTGACTGACAATGTTTCTTCTTTTTCCCCATTTAGAATACAAAGATTAGTACATTTTAGCTTATGATTAATATTATATTTTTACCTATAGTTTACCTAGATTAAAATGTATGATAGTGAATAAAGAGCTTTATATTGCGATTTGTTATTTCCTAACACTATTACTAATTACTTTTTCTATTTTAAGCACCAGCCACCAGATAATAATTTTAGGGCGTCCACGGACGCCTGGACGCCCTCAATAGCCGCCTCTGGCTGACTCGCTTTTTCGTCGGGGGCAACTTGCAACGTTGAGCCACTGGTTATGGGTCTGATCTATTTGGTCGTGTAGTTAGTAGTTAGTAGGTGACGGGAGCTTCTAAGCTTTCCGTAGTGCTCCCAACCTGCTTTCAGATATGGGAGTCATATATGCCTTCAGTTTCCACCCGGTGAACCTGGTCGGCGAGCCCCCAGGTTTCAACTGCGCATAATAATATAGCCGTGCGGGTAATAAACCCCGGGTTGGCTTCACGTGTATTCGGTAGTGTGGCCTACCCCACTACTCTGCTGCGCGTTGCCGTGTTGGGGTGCTATCCCGGCGCGCGCGCCGGAGCTAGCCCCTCTCCCCGGCCTCCGCGCACTTCGGCTATTTCGCTATATAAGAATTGAAATCTGCGTTCGTTTTGCGTACTGTATGTTTGGTAAGATAATTATTTATAAAGAATCAGAGTTGCCATGCCGCTCGCCCGAGCGTTTGGAGTTTTAGGAGCCAGTCCAGACACTTGCCTGGATTGCATCGCAATAGCTCCGTATCGACTCCTTACGCCCGAGTAAGTTGTTATATCCTATATACTCTGTAAGTTTCACGTTAGCGTCTGAGGTACCAGTCCAGACTATGTGTCTGGTTCGCATCGCGAAGGTCCTATAGTGACGCTTTGCGCTTAACTCAAGAGATGTGAGTACGATAAGATTGTAATTTTATTGTATGACTGTAACTTGGAGATGGGTGATCAGGATTAGAAAATGCATCGTTTGCCATTTGCAGTACCGAGAGGTTGGAACTAAGGGAGCCAGCCTGGACTCTCGTCCAGATTGCATCGCAATAGTGTGAATGTTTGTATTTCCATTAACATAGTTTAATACTTTCAATTACTACTATATAACTGTTTCAGGAGATATGTTCCCTGTTTATGTGTCTTAGGCTAGTGGAGCCTTGTTTGATATCCCTTCCCTTATACCCTTGGTGTTTCATTGCTTTCACTGGTACTTGCCATTTCACATTGGTAGCAGGAAGTGGTTCTGCTGATTTGAGATCTACCGTGATGACAGGTGAAAACTCAGAGGAGACACCTGCACCAAGCTTGGGTAACAATAGGACTGGATACAAGGCTCCACCGGCTTACAAGGAAGGTCGCTGCTATGAAGACTGGAGGTTGGACATTGATCTGTGGAGTGAGTTTACAGCTCTTCCCAAGAAGAGGAGGGCAACTGCGTTTCTTTTGGAGCTGAATGAAGGAAAAGTCAAGAACCATGTTAGATCCTTGGGCAAGGAAGTGCTCATAGCTGAGGATGGCTTGGAGCAGATAATAGCTCGATTAGATAAGATCTACAAGGAAGACTCGTCACATATAGCATATAAAATATACTGTAAGTTCGAACAGTATGAAAGGCGCGATGAAATGAATCTGCAGAGTTATATATCTGAGTTCGAGAAGTTGTACGACGATCTGAAAAAGCATAAGATCGAGCTGCCAGAAGAAGTACTTGCATATAGAGTATTGAACAGTGCCAAGATGGCACCAGAGAAAGTCGATCTTGCATTGGCAACTGTGAAGAGTATGACCTATGCAGAGATGGCAAAAACGATAGGGAAAATCTTCACACGACTCCCAAACACCGACAGTCAGCAACACGGAAGTGAAACTACTGTGATAAAGAGTGAGCCAGAAGAGTGTAACTTTACCTACAACAACAACTGGAGACGAGACTCTAGAGGAGGTTCAAGAGGTTCAGGGAGTTACAGTGGTCCGTACAGAAGTAACCGAGGAACCAACAGAGGAACTTCATTTCCATATAATTCAGGAGATGCTAGAACCAGGTTCAATAGCGGCTGTTTTGAGTGTGGAGAAAAGGGCCATATTGTTCGTTTTTGTCCAAAGAAAGCAAGAGGTGCTCAGTACTTCGCGGAGGAAGAAATGGAATCAGAGAACTCTGGAAGCGCCTACGTGACTCTGATGGTAGAAGAAACCACCTGCACCCTCATTCAGGAGAAGCCCGATTTCAGCTCCCTAGTGTTCGAGACACTATCGTGTGCAGTCATTGATTCTGGCTGCACAAAGACTGTGGTTGGAAGAAACTGGGTTGAACAGTATGCAGAAACATTGGGAGAAGAAGAAAGACGGATGATGACTCCAACTGAATGTGCAACCCCTTTCAAGTTCGGAGATGGTAAGAAGGTGACCTCAGTTGAAAAGATAAAGATACCAGGGAGGATAGGGACGCAGAAAATACTCATCGATGCAAATGTTGTGAGTTGTGACTTACCCCTACTATTGAGCAAACCCAACGGAGAACAGGTCAAATTGCTTGAGTGTAAGTCAGGACATTACTGTGTACCCCTGTGCAACAGAAGGAGATGTCTCAGCGACTCAAGTGTGCAGTTGGTATTGACAGTTACTGAAGATACTATGGGTGGCACAGATGAAAAAGAAATGAAAAAGAAAGCCTTGAAACTGCATAGGCAGTTTGCTCATGCTCCAGCATACAAGCTGCAGAGTATGTTGAGGAATGCAGGCTTCACTAAGAAAGAGTTTATGAAGGCTCTAGAGATAGTATGCAGTAACTGCGAAGTGTGCCAAAGATATGCTAAGCCAAAACCAAGACCGGTTGTCGGGCTGCCAAGGGGAACTGTCTTCAATGATTGTGTGGCAATGGACTTGAAAACTGTGCAAGGACAGATGTCAGGAGGATATTCCCCGTACCAGCTTGTCTTGGGAAAGAACCCGCCATTGCCAAATGTGGTAGATAATCATCTTCCTGCCTTGGAGGAGAAAGTTGCCAGTAGACATCTGGAAGACAATCTAAGAGCAATGAGGACTGCACGTGAGGAGTTCATAAAAGCAGAGAATAGTGCTAAAATCAAACGTGTCTTGCGGTCACAGGTCCGTACCTGTCAAGACACTGTACTGGAGATGGGTGAAAAGGTTTTCTATAAGAGAAACAATTCTGACAGATGGAGTGGACCTGGTGTTGTGATAGGACGTGAGAAGACGACCCAAGATCAAGAGAAGCATCAATTTGTTTCACCCGAAAGTAATGATGGTACAGAAAAAAGGATGGTTGACGAAGATCAGACTCCAAGATACTTTTCTGAAGAAGTTTCACTTGAGCAGAGAGCTTCTAGAGAGAAAGAGTTGAGAATTCCTACGACAAGCACGGTAGTAACTGCTGACACCCGAGAATTGGTAACTCAAGTCATAGTGCCTACGGCAAGTAGACAACAAGAGTCTGTAGAAAAGATAGAGCTCTATCACAGTAGAAAATATGCTAAGTGTCTGAACATT